TGCCCCCCCCCCCCCCCTTTCCAAGCGATCGCCCTTTGGATAAATATGAATCAACATGTCTGTGTGCCATTAAACTCTATAGCTAGCAAAGTAAAAGGTCTATTTTTACACATAAAAAACTCTTTTGCTGGCACATGACCTGACACATATACATGTATATACTTCCTACCAACTAAGTCCACAGATTGATTTCCCACCAGATATGTTGATAAACTGTATAGTTACCGGTAGCAAATGAAAAGGTCCATTTTTACACATAAAGAACTTCTTTCGGCTGGCCTAAGGCTCTATTCCCATAGATTTTAGATCGATCTATCCCCGCGGGGAGTCTCACTAGATTACTTTCAGATAATCCGACTTAAATGTCCGTCCCGCCTACTACAAGCTGTAAGGGGTTAATTAACTTTCGTGTCCGTCCGGTTGACAGCTATTTAGCGGGAACCCCCAGGGAGTTAGGTCGATCTAAAGTAGGTCGATCTAATCTATGGAAATGGGGTGTAAGACCCGACACATGCTTTCTACCTACTAGGCTCACAGGTTCATTTCCCACCTGATATTCACAGCTATGTCTCTGGCTAATTCATGACACAATTCTCGAAAAACTTCACATAATTAGTGAGAGACATATCAGTCAATATCTAGTATACAAAACCAATATGTGCACGTGGCCCTGTTAGAGGGTAGAAGGTATACCTGACACACGAGGTCCGACTACTCACCGTTCCTCCCGACAAAACTCAGAACAAGCAGTACATATAAAACAATACGTTGTGACGATCTCTCCACTAGTCCCTTCGAGATGTCTCTGAGCCTCATCCTGTGTGTTCTTAAAACCGTTAATACTGATTAATACTGACTGTTGAAGTTTATGTATGTATGTACCAGTAACTCATTGGAAAGTATCCCTTGGCTCACGAGTTCTCAAAGTACGCCCGGACAGCCGGTGTGTTCTTTAACGCGCATATCCATGAATAAAAATTAGAACAGACTTTTAAATGCTTTAAGTGTTTTTCGTCCCGGATGCAGCTGAGAGAATAGGCCAAGTCTTATACTAATTTAAACAAGAGCTGCACCGTCGTTAAACTGGAAGACCACTGATGCAGTCACTTCCGCATATTATAGTGGGTCTCGCATGTAAAAGGCATGTTAATGTCCACAGTGTGTCCGTTCGTGACACACTTGGGTACAGGTAACTGTGGTCAGTTTTCTTAAAAGGCAAGAGAAAAAGACAGCTATCTAAGGGAGCGTTCAGATAAGCCCATCGTGCTAGCTGGATCGATTCAACTGTGTGGGAGATTCTCCCTAAGTGCAATCACTGTAATTGGTTTAAATGTTTGACACGCCTCCTCGAGTTGCTAGGGGGTAATTAACTAATTAACTAGCTACTCGGTGAGGCATGTCAGACAATTAAGCAGATTACACTGAATTCAATTTAGCGAGAATCCCCCGCAGATTTAGATCGATCCAGCTGGTAAATTATTTGAATCTGGACACGGTCTGAGGACTCACCCGCCCCCCCCCCCCCCCCCTCCAAAGAAACTATCTGACTGAGAATACAGAAAAGAAGGTGATTATTCGAGTACGTTAAAAACAAGAGGACGCGTGTTCATCTGTTCATCCGATTCACAACACTCCAATGGTGTCTGGGATTTATACAACGTCTTAAATTCCGGGCAGATATGTCTCAGGTATATTTGCATGTTGTCGACTAAGCGGAGTATAAATATCTGGGGCATCTAGCTAGTAAAAAGAGGCAGTAGTGACTGTAAATGATATGTATGTATGTATGACTTAAAGTGTTACGTTCAAAGTTTCTTCATTACCTACTTGAAAAAATGTTAATATAACGGCATCAATAGCAGCTAAGTCACCTATTATATTGCTTTGCATCCATATATACGGTAACGTGATACGCCTTCATGTTCCCTTTCGTCTTATAATAAAGATTCTTAAAATATTTCAGGGCATTCCTCCATACTTAATGTAGGCCCAAATAGAGAAATTTCAATCAAAACAATCTAACATTTATAAATTACATTGAAAATATCATAACTGCAACATCCGATATGTATTTACGAAATTAATATCAGTATTATGTTTCAAAAATCATGGCCCAGCTTCCCATTTGATAAACAATTTTATTCGAAACACTGTGGACAACAAACCCCCCCCCCACCCCACCCCACCACACCCCCCACCCCCCAAAAAAAACATTAATTAATTGTGTCCATAACTTTTGTATAAGGATAGTCCCGATGTCATGGCCTTAATACCTGCCCCCCTTTGGAAGACAACCCTCTACCAAGGCCACAAGTTGATTCAGTCACCAGATATGTCCCGATATGTCCTCGGATCAGTTAGTCCTCGGATCAACTTGGTTGTGAACGCAGCCTTAGTAGACCCTGTGATTGATGTTGTTGTGACAATTATTCCGGATTTATGTTTAAAACATGACATGTTTTAGTCACGAGATGGTGTAAATTAATCAACATGATCTATTTTAGTGTAAGGAGTCCGCCCCCTTTATTTAACGTCAGCGAACCATACCGAGAAAGTGATAATATAATATTTTCACATATGTAATATTATTACATATGTGAAAATAATAATAATGGGTTAAAATAGGCTTTTTATTGTCTATAGTGTAATGATTATTTAATATACGTGTAAGGCATAAATGCTCTTGGTCGAATCATCACGCCGCGACACACCTCATAGAAACAATATACTTTTTTACCAATTAAATCATTAAAATAAATTAATAGATGATAAATGCGGTGAATTCATTGTGGTTGGTGTGACATGTGAAAATGCAATATGCCTTCGCCAACGGAACGAACTCTCCCAGCCATTATACTCTCCGCCTCTCTCTCTCTCTCTCTCTCTCTCTCTCTCTCTCTCTCTCTCCGCATAGTTCTATGTGAGACTAAAGTTCGTATTAACTTGCTAAATTAGTTCTAGTGTTTGGTGTTTTATTTGTTTGTTCATTTTTTTCTTTTTTTAAGCAATGCATTTACTTTTAACAATATCATCAAGATAATGAAGACTAGTGCAAACAAAACGTTTTTTTCGTCTGAGAGATTATAATGACAGGCAGCACGTTCATTTTGGAGGATTTTGAAAACATGATTTTGACTAACCATAAAAGATATTTACTTAGTAAGTAAAAAATGTTCAATCGGTTTTTAATGTAACTAAATTGCCTTTGCGAATGGGCACTACCTCACACAAAATAACCCTGGAAACAGCGAGAGAAAATCTCAATTTAGAAAACAGCGAAGGTTAAATGCCGCGATTTTCTAGGACCAACCTACTGAAATTGAACACAACAATAGCTTAAAGGGATAATAACTCTTCGTATGAGATCTGTATTTCACAATAAAAACATTGTGAATAACTCATAGAAATATAATATATCCTGTTTTACCACAAAAACGGCAGTTATAGCTATTATTCTGATATCTGAGCTTGTCTTTAGACCACGTGACCTCCATTGATGGCTATACTCTGTTAAAATCTCTTAAGAGATTTTAACAAAAAACCAAACTTTTTAGAAAAAAACCAGGGACTAACTTTGAATGTAAAAATGGATTCATTAACCATTGGTAAGTATGGGAAAATTGTTGTTTACTCCAGGAAAATTCATTTTTTGACCGAAACGAAGAGTTATTATCCCTTTAACTGTAACAAAAAAAAAAAAAAAAAATAGCGAGTGATTGCTTGACGAAACCGGCTCCAGCTCCACTATCGCATTGCCTTTATCCTGTCCTGTAATCTCGCACGCGCATTTAAAGTCAAATAAAGCAATCGGTGTTGATGTGAATAGGGTTTTCAATCACAATACGATAGCTCTTGTGTGGCGAAGGCGCTCACCCGTGTGTGTATTTGTGTGTGACTTTAAGCTTAGCTGCTATAGAAAAACAGCCGTGAGAACAAACTGTTCCGGTTTTAAGGCACCTTGCAATGCGGGCACTTATGTTTTGTATTTACACACACACTTACATGTACTAGTACGACCAAATACTGGACATAGAGAACTAGTATACTAAGTCACAGTAGAGAAGAATATAGGGTGACCAGTCAAATAGAAGAGAGGTCATTAATACTTCCTCAAGCTGCGGTCAGATCTTCGAATGGACCCTGAATGGCGATGACGGTAATCGCACTTGCGGATGAAATAACCCACTCTGATTTGACAGTACTGTTTTAGTAAGGGAAGTGAGTGCGGATGAAATAAACCACTTTGATTTGATAGTTCGGTTTTAGTAAGGTAGGTGAGTTAAATTGTACACTCGTAATGCTAAGACTGGAGCACCAAGCCGCACCGCATTTAGTTTATTAAAAGCCACACCTAGAACCTGGAGTTAACAAAACCTTTTTCGTCTGACGTCGAGCGTATACAGGGTCGTCACAAAGAGCTTCACGAATCTTCGGATAAACCTTTTGTTAAACCCATCAGTGATGTCTATATATAGCACCTTTCTCATTATTTGCTTTTCTATTTACCTCTGCTAGCGACTAGTGATGTTTTCAACGGGATGGGCGGGTCTCTCAATAAGTGAACAAAATATCTAAAAAAAAAAAAAAGAACGGTACAAAAAAGTTATTCACAACTTAAGGTGGCATTTTCAGGATAGTTATTTAGGGGGAAAGAAATAAGGAAAACGGAGAGGGCGGAGAGAAAAAATGGATGCCCCCCCCCCCCCACACCTTTCTAACTTCTTAACCCTGAATAGAGATTCATGCTTATACACAACCCTCTACTAGAGCCACAGAGGAAATTTTGTGCAAAGAATCCGGGTCTCCAAATATTTTATGAATATTTTTTTCTTTTTCTTGGTGGAGGTCTTCGCTCTTGGAACGCTCTCCAGTTAGTATGGTTTTCTTTTCATCGTCATTTTCCGTTGCTGTGTACCCTGCGTTTCACAAATCCCTGTTAACTCACCTCTTCAGTGTATTAATACAAGAAACTCAGGGTGCTTCTTTCTCTGTAATAAGCAACCACACGCCAGCGTTTCTGCGTGTCATTAAAAAGGGCGCCTTGAGCAAATAGTCTTAACTCAGAGGTACAATGAAATTGAAATTTAACCAGGTGTGCCGTATCAGCATACCTGGGTTGTGTGTACATAATGACAAATGGCGTCGCTCATTAGAAGGCAATGGGAAAATTAACATGGATCGGGGTTACCCTCTACCAGTTATTATTATTATTATTATTATTATTATTATTATTATTATTATTATTATTAGGGCATTTTCTCAGGTACAGAGAATAACCGTGAATTTAACCAGAGACATATCTGTGAATATCTAGTAAAAAATCAATCTGTGTTCCTGGTAGAGGGTAGGTTGGGGTGGTTTTAGAGGGGTGGGGTTGGGGTGGAGTGAAGTGACGCGGGAGGTGGGGGGGGGGGGGGCTGTTGAACGTGATACCGAACCTCCCCAGCTCCGTCATTCCATCCAAACATGCTTTGTTTCCACATGGCTTGCACTGGAACATGCATGTTTTGTTAACAGTTGCCTTAATGCTAGCTCTTTATTGCTACAAACTTAATATTGGGATGTCACAATTCGAATAGACTTTTCTTCACATCTCTCATCAAATAAATGGCAAATATTATTATATATCAGTTTATGAATAAGCGCACACATGTGAGTGATATCTACAGATATGCCAGAGTAATTAATCACATAGGCCTATCACGTAACACATGTAGTAGGTAGGCCTACAGTTGTGCATCATGGGATCAAGATTGAAACCTCTTCTTTAATTAGTTTTTTTTTAATTTTAGGAATTTTATACCTGATAATTTAAAGGTAAATATGATCACATTTGTCTATAAACACCATATTACGATTTTTTTTTTCATTGCAGATTTTAAACCAAAGACATAACGTTACTGGTCATAACAGTAGCCTACTGGCCAGTACTAAACAGACACTGGTATGTCCACCCAACCGCCAAACGAAAGACACCCGGATGCAGATGAAGACGACACTGGCGATGACGCCGTCCCAGGACCGTCCAACTCCGACCCGGAGGCGAGTTCGAGTACTGATAACAAAGGTAAAGGAAAAGGTAAAGGGACGAAAAAGCCATACGATGGAACGACCACTCTAGAGAACTTTGAGCCCTCAACTTACACCGATAAACACAGCAAATTCAAAGTAAATGATTACGGCACAGATTTTGAAATAAGACAGTACGATCCGAACGAAAGACCGGAGAAATATAAGCGACCCCAGCCCCAACCCCAGGACACAGCGGAAGATGTAGCGGAGGATGGGGCGGGAGTGACGTCAGGGTCAACGGAACCGGAAGCGACCTCCAGTGACGTCAGACCTGTGGCGGTGGCAGTGCCCCGGCCTAAGCCAGCTGTGCAAGAGCGAATTATTCATAAGAAAACGAAGGACAGTATATCTAAAAGTATAAGGAAATTTAGGTATCCGAAAGTCGTTGACGAGTGCCCGTTCTGAGCTGATCCAAAGTAAAACAGTGGGAGTGGATTCAGGGGATACACTGCTGAAACGTAATTCTTTAGCTGTTGTACCCCACCCCCACCCCCCACCCCCCAAAAAAAAGGGGGGAGAGAAGAAAGAAACACAATTGAAGCGAAAATTGGGGGGGAGAGAAGAAAGAAACACAATTGAAGCGAGACAAAAAACGGTTTTAGCACTCCTGTGCATTCCACAGTAACATTGCCCTCCTTTAATATTTTATATTTGTGGAGACAAGCGAGTCATTTATTTTTCAAATCTTAGGCATCCCCTACTTCTAATATTAGTAAAACTAAGGGTTCTCCGATAAACTGTTCCAAACTGCATGACGGCATGTAAAAAAAAAAAAAAAAAAAAAAAAAAAAAGGGGGGAGGGGGCAAATTTTTGCAACCATGGGCCCCAGAGTTTCTCTCTCGCTTATTTTTTTTCTTTCTTTGTTTTCCTCTTTTTCGGTGTAAGGATGATGGAGATTGGATTTTCTCATGGTACCAGAGCTTATTGGTACTTTGGAAATGTTTTCTCATTAGATATCAGCTTAATTATTTTTTTCTTCTTCCAATTTAAAATGCTAATTTGAGGATTATATCTAAAATAAATTAGTTTATATAATGTAGGCTATATTTACGGAATGGTAATTTCAAAAATCAAAATTATACGATTATTGTATACTGTACGTGTACATGTATATATAAAATGCGGAAATATGCTATTTTCATATGTGCCATATTGAATGACATTAATGTTTTTTCTTTTTTTTTTCTTTTTTATTATTATTATTATTTATTTATTTTTTTTGTGCATTGAAGATTTGTTTATATATTTTCTAAAAATATATGGATATGCATGGTGATATTACCCATGCATTAAAGTGAGATGTCATCGGAGGAAAAAAAGTGTTGAGATGATATCCGAATGGTGTCTAAAATCAAATATCTTAAATAATAATCATGCGTCATGCGTTAGATGATTATATCATTTGTCAAAAAAAAACTAAAATCTTACACAAATATTTTGCTGTCTTTGTGTGTTTGATATATCGAAATTACATCAATAATATAAACGTTTTCAAGAAAAGAACTGCACAGTATACATGTAGGCTGCAGGATGGCCTAGTGAATAAAAACGTTTTTATTTTCTCGGATGCTTTATTTGATTTTTATGAGTAAGAAAACAAATCTGAATCCAAAACAAAATCTACAACACTCGCCTTAATTATTTATTATCAAGTCAATCAATTCATTTTGGGTCAAAACTAAACCACTGATTTTTGTCTTTTATTTTATCGGCGTGTCTACAACTAGCGACACAATCGTCAAAATACCCAATCATACATGTACAAACACTAGCTATCTCCAGGCACCGCCAAACAATCAGAAAGTGATTAATTCTGAAAAGTGTTTAAGTTGTCTGTTTTTAGCCAACTGCGTTGATAACTATACAACCAAACATATAAATTTGCTACAGTCCGTCGTCTCCATAATAAACTATGGACTTAACTGATTCAACGTCACAGGTAAGTTGTTTAGATAGGATTCGAATACAATCAAACGCCCTTTAATGGTCCTTGATTTAAATATGAAAGGACTACGTAAGCAAACAAACAAAAGTGGACGACCGATTGTGGCACCCCCTAGAGTTCAGTCTCTCACGTAAACAAGAGTGCCCCGAACTTTTAATGTAGCAACCACAGCGCCATCTAGGCTTTAATCGATTAGGTTAGAGACCTCGTGTAGTAGTTGTTGTTGCCGTTGCATGGAGACGGTACACAATTTAATAACAAGTCATTGGGAGGTATTATAAGCAAGTGAGGCATGTGGTGTGATGTTTTGAGTCGAGGTGATTGACCGGGAGAGAGCTAGGAATACTTGAAGTACGGACATATTTTTCTATTATTTCACATACTGAATTACATTGAGAAGAAGTGAGCTAATTTAATTACATTTTAAGGTAGGTACATGTACTTCGCGTGTTTTAAGATATAGGGTTTTGTATTCATTCATTCATTCATTCATTCATTCAATCATCCTTCGCCGGTGTTTTCAGATGTTGTTATTTTCCCATCATAAAAATGTTTTTTTTTTTAAATGTTATAGGCTTAGGTACTGCATGCCGTACAGCACCAAAACGATTTAAAGCAACTAAAATTCCGACAAATGAGAATTGAAAAGTTATTTTGCGCTGTAGCGGAGATAATAATAATATAATTATAAATAAACCATAACAAAATAAAGGCATTGTCAGGCAACTGCCCCTCCCTCTATATCAGCCTACGGATACCCAGTATACAATTCGTATCAAAAGGCTTATAAGTAGGCCTACCATATACTGTATTGTGTACTAGTACAGTAAAACCTTGCGAAAATTTAAAAATCGAAAACCGGTTTACAGATAGTTTTTACCAACGGCTTTGGATAGGGAATACCGGTACCTCACTGATATAGGGAAAATTACTGTAATTTTCAGATTTCCCCTTTTATATAGATTGTGTGCCTTTAACGTTATCTTTATTGATCCCACAGATAAATATTGCGTGAAACCAGCCGGCCAGTTTGGTGTTACTGGGACAACCAATCAATATGGGTGATACGGGTTAATTGGCTTATGTTTTGACGTTGTTTTCAGTTGACCAGGTCACTGAAACCAAAGCACATGCTAAGTTATTTCACTAGCAGGTGCCTGATAGTAACATTACATGCACATTAGGCTTTTCCAAAAATATGTGTAAGCTTGTCGTTTAATTCTAATTCATTTTTCTCTTTTTCAGAAAGTTGTTGAGTCTCAATTACACATTCAGCAGATCGTCAGACTACTTGAAACAGTTGAGAATGTGCAAGACTGGAGAAAACATGAATGATTCCGAGACGGCTAGCCTAGTGACTAGTCCAGTACGTCCTGTGACCGCAAAAGCCCCGGCCAAGAAAGAATTAACCCTGCCTGAAAAACAAGACAAAGTGAAGGCCTACGCCCCAAAATCGAGTTGGCAGCCGCCTAAACCGTACACAACAAATTTCAAACTGTACCAGTATAATCCTGACGAGGCCCGCCCTCAGTCTAGGGCATCAACACCAGGTCAGAGGTCACGACCTCAGTCACATGTTCGGGTCACGAGATCACAGAGTTGTGACGTGTTGTCACGCGCCAGTGCCATCAGTGGGAGTGAAATGAGCCTCAAGGAATTATCCACTCAGGACAATTTGGTGGTCTCCACGGAGTTGCCCGGCAATAAAAGTGGCAATAAAGTTTCCTCAAAGGGACTCGTGAAGGGACTTAAGCGTCGCATGAGAAAACTAAAGCCAAAGAAGGTTTCCTGCAAAAATGACTACAGTAAACCCATTATGGAGACCAGTTTTACCACAAGTCTTCCTCACGAAAACTCCTTTGACAATTCCTCATTTGAGGAGGATAATGACGAGGAAGAGGAAGTTGCGGTAGTTGAGATTCTCACAACACAATCAGACACTACTGATCCTTGCCAGAACAGTCGGTGGTGCGAGGGATTGGCTTTTTAATAATTTTTTTAAATATATTTTTATCGCTGTAGTATATATAACTACTAGCGAATGTTACAAAAATGACGATACTTATTGAAATATAATGAAAACAAGTGTATTGCAGTGAAGTTTTTGGCAAGTTTGGGTTGCTTGTGCGTGCAGGCATACAAGTACCTGTGTGTGTGTGTGTGTGTGTGTGTGTGTGAGAGTGAGAGAGAGAGACGGTACACAGGCTCGTATACGTACATGCAAGTGAGGCAAAGTAATTTTTAGAAGAAAAAAACTATAACTTCCACTTTTGTTATCCCATTGATAGGGGGATTGTTTCTGATACTTACGCTTAATCAGGGAATAAATCAGTTTCCAATCTATGTTCAAATCTCAGTTGTGTGCCTTTTTATTTTCTCTTGGGTTTAAAGGTAAAGAAAAATATTGCTTTAAAGAATCGTGCCAAAATATCATAGCACTTTTTTTTGCCTATTTGTAGGAGCAACATTGATAACTCAAACACTGGTAAACGGTGATAAAAATTAAACTGTATTTGCCGTATATAATGAGGGAAATTCGAGATCTACCACAAAAAATACGAAAGTACGATGGCCCCTGTACACACCTGTCTGTCTTGTATGGCAGAATTTATGGGCGTATTCCCAGAGCTTTTAGATCGATCTATCCCCGCAGGGAGTCTCACTAGATAACTGTCAGATAATCCGGCTTAAATGTCCGTCCCGCCTACTACAAGCTGTAAGGGGGTAATTAACATTCGTGCCCGCTCGGCTGACATCTATTTAGCGTGAACCCCCAGGGAGTTAGGTTGATCTAAAGTAGATCGATCTAATCTCTGGGAATGGGGTCTATGTCACAAAATAACCTGGAGTTTGTTCCTATATGGTTTATGTCCAATGCAACATATGGAAAACACTCTCTTCTCAACAAAGAAACACTCGAAAACAAAATACAACACGGCTGGAGGGACTACATGTTAAAGGGATAATAACTCTTCGTTTTGGCCAAAAAATGAATTTTCCTGGAGTAAACGACAATTTTCCCATACTTACCAATGGTTAATGAATCCATTTTTACATTCAAAGTTAGTCCCTGGTTTTTTTTCTAAAAAGTTTGGTTTTTTGATAAAATCTCATAAGAGATTTTAACAGAGTATAGCCATCAATGGAGGTCACGTGGTCTAAAGACAAGCTCATATATCAGAATAATAGCTATAACTGCTGTTTTTGTGGTAAAACAGAATATATTATATTTCTGTGAGTTATTCACAATGTTTTTATTGTGAAATATAGATCTCATACGAAGAGTTATTATCCCTTTAAATGAGACCTTTCTTTCTTTCTTAGGCGAAAAACAGTGTTATGAAGTTTGTTCCTGTTTTTTTAATTGTAACAAAATATGGAGAACACTCGCTCCTCAACTTAGTAATTTGAACACGGAGTAGTTGTTGAAGGATGATTGCGTCTTAAAAAATGTAAATTGTCTTGAAAATTGCGTTAGATGCACTTTGGGCAAAAAATGCGTTAGATGCGCTTTGTGCGTTTCACAGTCGGCTGTCGTGCTTAAAAAGTCTAAAATAATAAATAAATATCTAAGCAATAACCCCCATACAGTTCAAATTAAGAGAATATAAATATATATATATATATATATATATATATATATATATATATATATATATATATATGAGAGTATATACAGGTGTATATATACTAAAAAAACCAATTCCTCAACTGTGTGGCAGCATGCTTTTTATGAACTCGGGGGCAGGTGAAGGATTATTTGAAGGGGGGTCTGCAATGCAAGCCAACTCTCTTTATCTCCCCCCTTAAGTGGGGTTTGGGGTCTGCTGGTGGTGGACAGAGTTTAACCTCAAAGTGAAATCAATGCTGCAATTGTTACGAAACACATTTCTTTTATTTTATCAATTCCTATTCAAAGTCTTTTGCAACATCTAAAAGGCAACAGATCAAACTAACAATCCATTCCAAACAGTCATATATTTGAAGGTTTTCTAACACAAAGATTTATCAGCAAAATCAATTCATTTTATTATCATATTAATAGTATGAAAAAAATTATATGAGACTGATCATTTGAATTATGTTAGTCGATAAATACACAAATCCTATACATGACATGCCATCATAAGAAACAAGATCAAAATACAAATTAAATGATATCTTTTCTAAACAACACTTTTACAACTTGCATAAATCTAAACATAAATAGTATAGTTCTTTTTACTTTGAAATGATAGATTTGCAAGATATTCCTTATTCTTCATGTTAGAGCCTCCTTCTAATTCACAAGTAACAAGTTGCGCTGCTGCGTTCACATGAAATATCTATTTTTGGTATCTTGGTATCTATTTGCGGTATCTTGTGATCACAGTCTGTGCCCTTAATTCCCCACAGTGTTATTACGGGCAGCACGAGCAAGTTTCTTTCAAAGCTGTAATTAATTCACAGCGCTGCCAGTAATTACTCAAGGCACAGACCGTGATCACAAGTTACCGCAAATAGATTTTTAGAAAATAGATTTTCATGTGAACGCAGCCTTAGGTGCATCTCAGATGTCTAAGGGTCCATTCAGAATGAGAAGAGCTGGTTGATAGCTGGTCCATGGCCTAAATATGGCAGACTTAAATGAAAGAAAGGCTTACAGACATGGGGAAACTGTAGGACCCACTGCTCCTGCCCCCACTGAATACCTGTGGACTGGCAAGATTTATGTGAAACACAATACATAAAAATAAAAAATAAGTTACTTTCTTTTAACAAGAATTAAAACCAGAATAAAAATTCACAGTCACCTCTTGTTGTTTGGTTTCAAATGAAATTTTAATTTTATTTTAATTTAGGCTGTTGACCAGCTAGCAACTTCTCATTCTGAACCGTCCCTACGGCACCATTTCCATACCCTATCATACTTAGTGTGGATCAATCTATATCTGAGGGGATTTCACTAAATTGCAATCAACTTAAGCGGGTTAGATGTCTGTCATGCCTTCTAAAGCAGCTAGGGGGTAATTTTTTATTGTTTAACAGCTTCAGTAGGCATGCCAGACATCTAAGCCCCTTAAGCTGAAATCAATTTAGCAAAAAAAAAAAAAAAAAAAAAAAAAAAAACTTTCCGGTGGATCAATCCTATAAGTTTAATCTAGATATGGGAACCTAGTCTCAGAGCGACCTAACTCTCGGGGGGTTCAAGCTCAATTGCTGTCAGCCGACCATGCACGGAAGTTAATTACCCCCTTACAGCTTTTAGTAGGCGGGACAGACATTAAAGCCAGCTAATCTGACAGTAATCTAGTGAGACTCCCTGCGGGATAGATTGATCTACAATCTGTGGGAATGGGGTCTTAGAGATCATTCCATGTCTTAAAGAAGACATTATACACCAGAATCTGCAAATACATTTCTAAACAATGCAACAGGATATATATCAGGCCTTACTTTTGGGTCAATGTTATCATCAAACTTCTTTCTGACTACAGCATCAGTACAGAAATTACTTTCTTCTTTCATCCCCAAAGCAGAATCTTCATTTTTGACAGACTGCGGTGAAAGCATGGGTGAAATAGTCTCACCTTGAAGTTCTTTCTTGATAGACTGAACTGAAAAGCTGGGGTGGATCCCTCTTTCATGTTGTGTACAAGTATTTTTAAAACTAAAGTTCTTTTCGTAATACTGGCATTTGAATGGCTTTTCACCAGTGTGGATCCTTCTTTCATGTCTTAAACAGTTACCTTTTACAGTGAAGTTCTTTTTACAATACTGGCATTTGAATGGTTTTTCACCAGTGTGGGTCCTTTCATGCAGTGTACATTTATGCTTTGTACGAAAACTCTTTTCACAATACTGGCATTTGAATGGTCTTTCACCAGTGTGGATCCTTTCATGTGTTAAACAGTCCCTTTTTGTACTAAAAGTCTTTTCACAATACTGGCATTTGAATGGTTTTTCACCAGTGTGGATCCTTTCATGTGATAAACAAGTAGCTTTTGTACTAAAACTCTTTTCACAATACTGGCATTTGAATGGTTTTTCACCAGTGTGGATCCTTTCATGTGATAAACAAGTAGCTTTTGTACTAAAACTCTTTTCACAATACTGGCATTTGAATGGTTTTTCACCAGTGTGGATCCTTTCATGTGATAAACAAGTAGCTTTTGTACTAAAACTCTTTTCACAATACTGGCATTTGAATGGTTTTTCACCAGTGTGGATCCTTTCATGTGATAAACAAGTAGCTTTTGTACTAAAACTCTTTTCACAATACTGGCATTTGAATGGTTTTTCACCAGTGTGGATCCTTTCATGTGATAAACAAGTAGCTTTTGTACTAAAACTCTTTTCACAATACTGGCATTTGAATGGTTTTTCACCAGTGTGGGTCCTTTCATGTGATAAACAAGTAGCTTTTGTACTAAAACTCTTTTCACAATGCTGGCATTTGAATGGTTTTTCACCAGTGTGGGTCCTTTCATGCAGTGTACAGTTATGCTTTGTACGAAAACTCTTTTCACAATACTGGCATTTGAATGGTCTTTCACCAGTGTGGATCCTTTCATGTGTTAAACAGTCCCTTTTTGTACTAAAACTCTTTTCACAATACTGGCATTTGAATGGTTTTTCACCAGTGTGGATCTTTTCATGTGATAAACAAGTACCTTTTGTACTAAAACTCTTTTTACAATACAGGCATTTGAGTGTTTTTTTACCAGTATGGTTCCTTTCATGCTCTGTACGTTTAGCTTTTTCAATAAAACCCTTTCCACAATATTGACATTTAAATGGCTTTTCTCCAGTGTGGGTTCTTTCATGTCTTATGCAGCTACTGTTTTCACTAAAAATCTTTCTACAGTACTGGCATTTGAATGGTTTAACACCAGTGTGGGTCCTTTCATGTTTTAAACACTTACTTTTTGTACTAAAACTCTTTTCACAATACTGGCATTTAAATAGTTTTTCTCTAGTGTGGTTTCTTTCATGTATTATACAGCTACTGTTTGCACTAAAACTCTTTTCACAATACTGGCATTTGAATGATTTTACTCCAGTGTGGATCATTTCATGTGTTCTATGGCTACTTTTTCTTCTAAAACTCTTTTCGCAATACTGGCATTTGAATGGTTTTTCACCAGTGTGGATCTTTTCATGTGATAAACAAGCACCTTTTGTAATAAAACTCTTTTCACAATACTTGCATTTGAATGGTTTTTCACCAGTGTGGGTCCTTTCATGTGATAAACAAGTAGCTTTTGAACGAAAACTCTTTTCACAATACTGGCATTTAAATGGTTTTTCACCAGTATGGGTCCTTTCATGCACTGTACAGTTACTATTTGTACTAAAACTCTTTTCACAATACTGGCATTTGAATGGTTTTTCACCAGTGTGGATCTTTTCATGTGATACACAAGTACCTTTTGTTCTAAAACTCTTTTCACAATATTGGCATTTGAATGGTCTTTCACCAGTGTGGATCCTTTCATGTATTAAACAGTCCCTTTTTGTTCTAAAACTCTTTTCACAATACAGGCATTTGAATGGTTTTTTTACCAGTGTGGTTCCTTTCATGCTCTGTACGTTTATGTTTTTCACTAAAACCCTTTCGACAATATTGGCATTTGAATGGCTTTTCTCCAGTGTGGGTTCTTTCATGTCTTATGCAGCTACTGTTTGCACTAAAAATCTTTTTACAGTACTGGCATTTGAATGGCTTTTCACCAGTGTGGGTCCTTTCATGTGATAAACAGTTTCTTGTTTGACCAAATTTTTTTTCACAATATCAGCATTTGAATGGTTTCTCTCCAGAGTGGATCCTTTCATGTTGTGTATACATACTTTCCATCTTTAACCTCTCATGACAGTAATGGCACTTCCAGTGAGGGTCCTGTCACTTTCCACAACACTTGCATTTGAATTGTTTTTATCTGCATTGGACAATTCAATGTTTAACACGAAGAAAATGTTCCTTTACAACAGTGCGTGGGTGGTTTTTTTACAATGCGAGCCCCTTAATACATCATGCAGCAGGATTTGTTGCAAAAAGTTAATCTCCTATCACTGAATTTGCATTTGTAAATCCCTTTGTTAATTACTGTACCGAATTCACAGGTTATCAATTCACGGTGGCTGTAATTTGAATCGTCTTTGTGGAAGCGAAGCAAAGTTAATGTTCATGCAAATGTTGTAGTCTTACCAAAGACATAATTATTTTATGATATACAGCAGAGTTACTCGTTCTATCCGTCCATATCGACTTGTTATCGTTACTAATACAGGGAGTTAACTCCTTGCTAATACAGAACTCAAACTTTCCGGTAAAAAGGGCAATATACTTTTATTCGATACTTTTTATTAACCAATCTTCAGGAGAGGCCACATTCCAATTCATCAATGGGAGATTGGGAAGAAAACGTTTTTTATAGCCACTTAAGACAGTTCATCCGAAACCTTAAATATTATTCATTATTGATCAGTAGTCATAATATGATATAAATCCTTAACAAAGTTTAATTTATTAGTAAACCTCTGTGCTTTGGTTTCAGTGACCTGGTCAACAGAAAACAACATCGATAACCAATATTTCACCTTTTGACGCCGGTTGTTTGCGAAAATGTCGTTTGCTGGGAAATAAAATATTTTTATTTTAATGACGTACGGTACAAAATTTCAAAACCAAGACAATAGAAACATTTGAGGCTCATAAATCATCAGAGGTAATTGTAGTGGCTTATATGGTGTCCGAAGTGCGTTTTATTTACTTAACAAGTTACGTGTTGATGATGAATGAATGATAATAATTGATAAAAATTAGAGAAACTAAAACGTGGAAATTCTTTGAAATACAAAAATAATTTTTTTTCAAAATTACAGTCAGAGATGATCCAATTGGTCAGTTCTTTACAGGCCTTTGTAATAAGCCGTTGCACACCCTAAGAGATAATCTTTTCAATGTGCAAAAATGATCAAACTTTCAGATTTTTTTCTATACAAAAATTTATATTTTAGTATAGCATATGTAATGCTTTTATTGTATACAACAGGACTATAGAGTAGGTGACATTCTTATTTTCATGCTGCCACTTAATTAATACTGATGTTCAAATTTTAAGAAATTATATTGTCCTATAAAGTCAACATTTTCCCATTGAAAAGATAATTACAATACTAATACACTACTATGTATCAGTAGCCATGTTTAACAAGGCACAGTGATGCCAAATATTCGTTTTGAATGAAATATTTTTTTTTTTTACTTTATAGATCTTGTATGTGTTTAAAAGCTTGGTAATCTGTGATATTTTTATGTTGAAATAGAATTGAAATATGCAGTATATATATATATTAATACGTTCTCGTGTTTTTTATTTCACAGATAAACATCCAACAGACTTCAACTGGTTTTATGATTTTGGATGAGAAGACTACTGTAAAAGTTGAAAATATCTTCAGTGGTCCCATTAAGTCTCAGCCCCCCAACAGTGCCAGCTGTAGCATGCAGCAGTGCACTAATAGCAATAACAAGGCCAAACATAGCAGCAGCAACAGCAGTCCCATAACAAAATGCAGTCTTGCTGAAGGAAACAATAAGTTGACTCCGCACAATATCAGTAACAGTAACAAGACTCAACAAGCAGACAGTAGCATTGATGCTTCACAGAAGTCTAGTTGCAGTAATAGCAGTGATGGTCAACCCTTTAACAGTGACACCAGCAAGGATAGTAGCAGTAGTGTTAAGAGAGCTAATTCAAAGTCGACTGGAAGCAGAAGCCAGTGTGGTGATGAGGATAAAATGGACTGTGAGGAGTACACAGAAATGTTGCCTAACAGCGTGTATAGCAAGAGGAATCACAGTGATATCATGGAGGCTGAGCATTCAGAAATGAAAGATGACAGCATCAATAATAAAACAAATAGTGATGGAGTTTCATCTTGCGGTAGTGACATCATTGATGATAATACCAGTCAAAGTAACGTAGCCAAGAAGGAAGAAACAAGAATTGAAAATAAGGCTGACACTACTTGTATCAGTAATAACAGCAACAGTGATGGTACCACTGATGGCAACATTGCTAGTGGTGACGATAGCAGTAACGGTACCACTGAAAATAATGACAATGTGGTGCAATGGAGTCAGGCTGAGTTCTTGAGGTTTAGGAACAAGCTGTTTGAAATTATGGAGGAATTAAGAATTAAAAGGGTAATTAGACTGGAATTGTTAAAGGGATAACAACTCGTCGTTTTGGCGGGAAAAGTGCCATAAAATGGGTTTTCTTGGGGTGATTTTCCCATATTGTCCAATGGTATATGAAACCGTTCTGACTTTCAAAGTAAGTTTNAAGACAGCTTCCATCTGCCCCTGAGGCTTTAATAATTGACTGAAATGCTACTATGTTATGAAACATAATTTTTATCTTTCTTACTAGTATGTTATCAAAGTGCCTGATGCATATAATAAGGTTAAATCAACATGTATTTTTTTTAAATTTCAGGATGAAGTGACTTCGGAGAAAACACACCTGGTGAGCCAGCATGCTGAGGAGATGGAAGTGCTGCAGCAGAAAAATAGAGCCAGCCTAAAGACACTGGAAGAGGAAAAGGTGAGAACTTCCTATCTTTTTAGAGAGAGAGAGGGAGAGAGAGAGATCTTCCACAGCTCTCCTTATAGCAAGTCAAGTGCAATGTTTAAGTGTCACTGCAGGCTGTTTGGTGATGAGTATTAGATAAATCAGGAAAGTTTAATGGTGTGTGATTGAGCTCAACTACTACAGTGTTGGGTGTAAAAACAGAAGTATATGAAATGAGAAATAATTTTGATCATATGAAGTATGTTAGATTCAGTGATATTGAACTTCATGAGGGGACAGCCTGGAGAAAATATTCCCTTTTTTTAATTGAAAAAAAAAATCATTTTAGGCTAAGCTGAAGATGCATATGCACTGCAATGAATCGGAGAAAAAATCCCTCAAAGATGATGTAAGGGTCCTGAAGGTAAGGCTTTTTTCCTCATAATAGTTATAGCCATTGGAGTTTTTTTTCACATTTTTTCACATTTGAAAATACTAAGCATCTTAACTCTCAGTGCTACAATTTATATGCTGTATAAAACCCTTGTTTATATTCCATAAGATTTCAGTCTATTGCAAAATTTCAGTTTCCTTATTTTGTCTGAGAATTAAAAAAATAATTAAATCATTTTTTTTTTGAAAAAACAAACAAAACATGGGCTATTTTGCTGAGAGAAAATGTCATTTGTGGGCGAAACTCATTATGCCGTCTGCTTCAGCATATTTCTCTTGTTTTTTGTCTTGAAAGTCTTAAATTTCCAATCTTAGTTGTTAGATTTTATATATGAATTAAGTTAGACCTGTATCCAATGTTACAGTTCATGAAATACAACTTAGAAAAGAAAACCCAGGAACAAGAACGGCAGCTGTGTCTGTGGAGGAACACCAAAGATGGAAGTCTTGCGCAGATTCAGGAACTCGAGAAAAAGACCAGGATGTTTACGCAAGATGTGAAGAAGGTGATGGAAGTCCAGGAACGTCTGGAACTCAACGGTAAGTTGTCAAGGCAGTCAGGAAATGATTTTACATAAGAACTCCAGATTAACTTAGAGGGTGATCTCAACTTTTAATAGGGGAAAAGTCTTTTTTAGTCATCTGAAATTAAGTCCTTGAAGAGATATAACAACTGTTCATTTTGTTAAAAAAAAAAAGGATTTTCCTGGGATGAAGAACAATTATCTCATACTTACCAATGGTTAATGAATCTGTTCTGATATTCAAAATTAGTCCATATTTTTTTTTTCCTGAAATTGTTGGTTTTATTGTAACAATCTCTTAAGTTGCTTTTGACGGTGTCAGTGTATTACTGTGTTTAGGCCAATATTTTAAAGTCCCCTATAGATAGTCAGCTGTTCAAGTTAAGCAGTCTAAATTGAACCCAAAGCTGATATAGAGACTTATTTGTGAAACAGGCCCAGCAGTCTTTACAATGTTGGGACCCATTGTGCCGTCTCCTCCAGTGAGGAATCTCATCTAATACAATAGCCTTCTGACTAACTGAATGGAACAAACTGCAGTTGTTTTGCCTTCTTTACATTTTATTTTACAACTCATCAATATTGAAAAGTATAAAAGTGAGTTTAAATTAGATATGCTGAGTAGAAATCTCAAAGATCTGCTAGTCAATTGTACATTGTGCACTGCCCAAGTATTCAATCTATTGTGTTATACCTTTGAGAAGATATTATGTGTGTCGTCCCTAAGTCTATAACAAGGTAATGCCTCATAATTTTTCTTTTTTAGCACTTTCTTAATATAATGGAATTATGATGCCAACTGACCATAATTACAGATCTTTGGCACAGAAAGGTCATTTTTAATATTATTACGTGACTTAGAATTGATATAATAGTGATCAGATTTGGCTAGAATGGCAACTACTGATTTTGATTTTTACCATGAAAAATTGAGATTTGTAAAGAAAAACGAGTTCTGAAGGAGGTAATTGAAGTCAGGAATACTGTAAAAATTAACAAAACAAACACATTTGGTACTGCAGCATGTGAAAAGTATAGTTTTTATTTTCTTGACATTCAATATGTAGAGTATAATTTGGGCATTACAGAAATTAAATAATAAACATATTTATTCATATCAAGCAAAAATGTCATTTATACTTTATGTTAAAGGAAATATTAACAACACTTTAAATTAATATAATATCATTATGAAATGGAATGCCATCAAATTGAAATTATTATTTTTTGATTGGTTTTATGAGATTTGCACATAATGTTAATTAAACTTATTTTGAATCATTTTATTTGATTTTTTGTAAATTAAAAATAAATTGAGTGGCACAGCGAAGAAAAAGCAACATTAAAAATGTGAAAAAAAAATGAAATTTTGAAATCATTTGTATTGTGCGGCAAAGCAAGTAACATAACCTTGTCATGGAATTAGGCTGCTGTCATTTTTATTTGCACCAGTCTCCATAATAAGCCATGCTAAGTAGTAAAAGTTTTCAAGAATTACAATTGTTGGCCATAGTGACAAAATTATTTTAAAAAAATGGAAATGAAAAAGAAAAGTCTGTAGGTAAAGTTGACAGACGTTAGCCAGCCTTTAACAATTATGAATGAATGAATGCTTAAAGCCATTAGCTGTAAACTATAAATAAAAATGAATATTGCATCTAATAAAACAGTGGGAACTGTTTATGCTTGTTAAAGGATTTTATGCTGGCAAGGTGCAGTGTTGGCCACTCTAAGCCAGTTTATAAGATTTGTAAGTCTGTAGGCATCAGCTGTTATAAAACCCCAAAAAATTGGAAGTAAATGATAAAAGACAAAATAAATGAGAAAATGAATTCAACATGTAATGTTTAAATATGTTCTCCATGACAACATGTAATCTCTTGGTATGCTCACCATGGCAACGTGGAATGTTTATACATGTTCACCATGACAACATGGTGCCGCATCCCCCCTCTGTTTACAGCACTCCCAAACATACTCCACTCTTTCCAGCCTCCCCTCGCTGTCATAACGCTCAATCTTTAACTTTCCGCGAGGATGAAAATGACATGCCATCTTGTGATTGTCTTTGAGAGTATAAAGTCTATGACATCGCAGACACTGAAGTACGGCTCCATGCGCTTTGGGGCCTGTGCCTTGTCGTGCGGCGTGTGCTTGTTTGATAGCCTCATTCTGTTTCTCCATCACAGGAGGAAGTTTACTCAATCCCCGTGCGGGGGCGTGGTGGTGCACGTCCTTCACCTTGACTGGTTTTGTAAAGACAACTTTATTAACGTGCACCTGAGATGACTTTTGAGGACTGCCTTGGCGAGAGTTATTATTTCTGTCCACATCAGCCTGGGCTGTTTTCGATTGAGCAGTTTTGTCAGTCTTAGACAAACTGCCCTTGCTGTCCTGGTGCACCACACTGTGTTCTCTCCTGTGTAAACTGTCCTTACTGTCTTGGTGTTTCAAGCTATGTTTACTATTCTCCCGTCTGTGTAAACTTTCCTTACTGTCATGCCGTTTCAGACTCTGCATGCTGTCCTTACTACTCCCTCTCTGAGTGAGGGACGGAATTCTTCTCTCGCCAGTTTTGGGGTCATTTTGATTTGACTGTGGCGCCACCTTCATGTTGTTTTCATGGGTTGCTGCACCATGTTGTATGTGTATTGTCACTACTCTTTGATTTTCTTTGCACAGCTGATATTGCTGTGGAACATTGCTGCTGTCTTTGGGTTGTTGATGTTGTTGATGGTGGTGGTTACGTTCTCTCTGTTCCTTATGCTGTTGATACTTTTTGAAGTCATCGATTTGATTTTTAAGCAGGCTCAATTCGCGGTGAAACTTTTCCTCTGTCTCTTTCACCGATTCTTGTTGCCGAGAGAGGTCTTGCCACTGTTGCCTTAGCAACCAGTCTAGAGATTTTTGTCCTCCCTCGGCCACGTTTAGTGTCTCCATGCACCTCGTTCGTTCCTCTATGTACGCTTCAACTTTTTCTGAAACTATCCCAACGTTTCGCTCTAGAAGTTCAATTTGACTAAAACCGATATCATCCTCTTGATTACCTCTATTATACACCCGTAAATTATCTGGCATAACCGCCATCAATTTTTCGTTCAGTACCTGGATTTTTGCATCGAGTTCCAAAACCATGCGTCGTTGCCGTTCTATTTCTCTCATGGCAGTTTCAACTTTATCTTTGCCACCTTGGCGTTCCATCTGAATTTTTGCCCCAATCCAGGTTATGAGATCATTTTTATCCCGCTTGGATATTTTATTAGCATACTTCCCATTGATGTACTCTGACGTAAGGTTTGTGATGTCGCTGTCAATGTGTTTAGGCAGCGAATACATCCTGGGCTTCTCCACAGAAAGGAGAAGATTTTGAAAATTCACAATACTTTCCGTCTGTGTAGCAGTCGTCATGTTCTACTATTTTTTTAATTTTTCTAATCCTAAATCCTAAGTGACATGTTTAAGCAATTCATTTGTCCTAGTTGTTTACCCTGTCGTGCATTAGGTCCTCGTATTTCAAGTCAGTTTGAACTCATTATTTCGTATTTGGTGGAATGTAGTCCATCTTAATTGAACTGACAGACTGTCACAGTGCCGCAACAGAATTTTTATAAATTATTGTTCTTGTTCTTGTTTTACATGGCGTATATCCCAAAAGTGTTACATGACAATCATTGTATCCCAAGAAATGATAGGTATGTTGATTTTTTTCTATCCCTGCGTAATAGATTGTGCAGTATCTACTTTGATGACGGTGTGTAGTCCGTTGTTTGACTGGCTCCTTGGTGAGTGGGTGGCTTGGATTTATCTCCAGGACTCTGTGGCTCGTGCTTAGAATTTTAGTATGATGTCATCTGAGCGTTGAAGCCATAGCCTGTGAATAAAAAAAGATAAAGAGACATTAATGCATAAAGATGATAAGAAGTCTGACGCAGAGGAATATAATGAAAATGGTAATACTTTTATTGGGCTCTTCATGTTGCATTGTCACATTTGCAAACCCTTTACACTATTTTTTTATACAAAATAAGTGTATATATTTGTGTATAAAATTATATAATTTGAGGTTTTGTCTAGTTTTGTATAGATATCAACTCTCAAATAAAATACAAGGTAACCTTTTGAACTATGATGGCAGAAAACAAAATTCAAGTAAACATTTTAAATTATAATAATATCAAGTTTTTTGTTCTGGAAATGACAGATGGATAATAATGATGAGTTTTCATTTATCTCTGCAACACAGGGTGAGGGGTCCTGTCAATTCTAACATTGTAATGTGCCAGTAGATGAAAGACATTGTTCAAATTAGCACATAGCCTGAGCAACAAGGGGCAAATACTCTAGTAGGTGTGAGATTATATAAAANGTTTTTTTTTCACATTTTTTCACATTTGAAAATACTAAGCATCTTAACTCTCAGTGCTACAATTTATATGCTGTATAAAACCCTTGTTTATATTCCATAAGATTTCAGTCTATTGCAAAACTTCAGTTTCCTTATTTTGTCTGAGAATTAAAAAATAATTAAATCATTTTTTTTTTGAAAAAACAAACAAAACATGGGCTATTTTGCTGAGAGAAAATGTCATTCGTGGGCGAAACTCATTATGCCGTCTGCTTCAGCATATTTCTCTTGTTTTTTGTCTTGAAAGTCTTAAATTTCCAATCTTAGTTGTTAGATTTTATATATGAATTAAGTTAGACCTGTATCCAATGTTACAGTTCATGAAATACAACTTAGAAAAGAAAACCCAGGAACAAGAACGGCAGCTGTGTCTGTGGAGGAACACCAAAGATGGAAGTCTTGCGCAGATTCAGGAACTCGAGAAAAAGACCAGGATGTTTACGCAAGATGTGAAGAAGGTGATGGAAGTCCAGGAACGTCTGGAACTCAACGGTAAGTTGTCAAGGCAGTCAGGAAATGATTTTACATAAGAACTCCAGATTAACTTACAGGGTGGTCTCAAATTATAGTAAAAACAATTCTGTCTTTACATCTGTGTTAGTCATCTGAAATTAAGTGCTTGAAGAAATATAACAACTGTTCATTTTGTTAAAAAAAAAGGATTTTCCTGGGATGAAGAACAATTATCTCATACTTACCAATGGTTAATGAATCTGTTCTGATATTCAAAATTAGTCCATATTTTTTTTTTCCTAAAATTGTTGGTTTTATTGTAACAATCTCTTAAGTTGCTCTTGACAGTGTCAGTGTATTACTTTGTTTAGACCAATATTTTAAAGTCCTCTATAGATAGTCAGCTGTTCAAGTTAAGCAGTCTAAATTGAACCCAAAGCTGATATAGAGACTTATTTGTGAAACAGGCCCAGCAGTCTTTACAATGTTGGGACCCATTGTGCCGTCTCCTCCAGTGAGGAATCTCATCTAATACAATAGCCTTCTGACTAACTGAATGGAACAAACTGCAGTTGTCTTGCCTTCTTTACATTTTATTTTACAACTCATCAATATTGAAAAGTATAAAAGTGAGTTTAAATTAGATATGCTGAGTAGAAATCTCAAAGATCTGCTAGTCAATTGTACATTGTGCACTGCCCAAGTATTCAATCTATTGTGTTATACCTTTGAGAAGATATTATGTGTGTCGTCCCTAAGTCTATAACAAGGTAATGCCTCATAATTTTTCTTTTTTAGCACTTTCTTAATATAATGGAATTATGATGCCAACTGACCATAATTACAGATCTTTGGCACAGAAAGGTCATTTTTAATATTATTACGTGACTTAGAATTGATATAATAGTGATCAGATTTGGCTAGAATGGCAACTACTGATTTTGATTTTTACCATGAAAAATTGAGATTTGTAAAAAAGGTGGTAATTAAAGACAGGAATACTGTAAAAATTAACAAAACAAACACATTTGGTACTGCAGCATGTGAAAAATATAGTTTTTATTTTCTTGACATTCAATATGTAGAACATAATTTGTGCATTACAGAATTTAAATAATAAGCATATTTATTTATATCAAGCAAAAATGCCATTTATACTTTACGTTTAGGAAATATTAACATTAAATTAATATATCATTATGAAATGGGATGCCATCAAATTGAAATTATTATTTTTTGATTGGTTTTATGAGATTTGCACATAATGTTAATTAATTATAAACTTGTTTTGAATGATTTTATTTGATTTTATTTAAATTAGAAATAAAAATTGAGTGGCACAGTGAAGAAAAAGCAACCTTAAAAAAGTGGGGAAAAAATGGAATTTTGAAATCATTTGCATTGTGCGGCAAAGCAAGTAACATAACCTTGTCATGGTATTAGGCTGCTGTCATTTTTTATTTGCACCAGTCTCCATAATAAGCCATGATAAATAAAAAAAGTTTTCAAGAATTACAATTGTTGGCCATAGTGACAAAATTTATTTAAAAAATGGAAATGAAAAAAGAAAAGTCTGCAGGTAAAGTTGACAGATGTTAGCCAGCCTTTAACAATTATGAATGAATGAAAGTCATTAGCTGTAAACTATAAATAAAAATGAATATTGCATCTAAAAAACAGTGGGAACTGTTTACACTTGTTAAAGCATTGTATGCTGGCAAGGTGCAGTGTTGGCCCCTCTAAGCCATTTTATATAATTTGTAAGTCTGTAGGCATCAGCTTTTATAAAAACCAAAAAAAAAAAAAAAAAATTGGAAGTAAATGGTAAAAGACAAAATTAATGAGAAAATGAATTCAACATGTAATGTGTAAATATGTTCTCCATGACAACATGTACTCTCTTGGTATGCTCACCATGGCAATGTGGAATGTTTATACATGTTCACCATGGCAACATGGTGCCGCATCCCCCCTCTGTTTACAGCACTCCCAAACATACTCCACTCTTTCCAGCCTCCCCTCGCTGTCATAACGCTCAATCTTTAATTTTCCGCGAGGATGAAAATGACATGCCATCTTGTGATTGTCTTTGAGTGTATAAAGTCTGTGACATCGCAGACACTGGAGTACGGCTCCATGTGCTTTGGGGCCTGTGCCTTGTCGTGCGGCGTGTGCTTGTTTGATAGCTTCGTTCTGTTTCTCCATCACGGGAGGAAGTTTACTCAATCCCCGCGCGGGGGCGTGGTGATGCACGTCCTTCACCTTGACTGGTTTTGTAAAGACAACTTTATTAACGTGCACCTGAGACGACTTTTGAGGACTGCCTTGGCGAGAGTTATTATTTCTGTCCACATCAGCCTGGGCTGTTTTCGATTGAGCAGTTTTGTCAGTCTTAGACAAACTACCCTTGCTGTCCTGGTGCACCACACTGTGTTCTCTCCTGTGTAAACTGTCCTTACTGTCTTGGTGTTTCAAGCTATGTTTACTATTCTCCCGTCTGTGTAAACTTTCCTTACTATCATGCCGTTTCAGACTCTGCATGCTGTCCTTACTACTCCCTCTCTGAGTGAGGGACGGAATTCTTCTCTCGCCAGTTTTGGGGTCATTTTGATTTGACTGTGGCGCCACCTTCATGTTGTTTTCATGGGTGGCTGCACCATGTTGTATGTGTATTGTCACTACTCTTTGATTTTCCTTACACAGCTGATATTGATGTGGAACATTGCTGCTGTCTTTGGGTTGTTGATGTTGTTGATGGTGATGGTGGTTACGTTCCCTCTGTTCCTTATGCTGTTGATACTTTTTGAAGTCATCAATTTGATTTTTAAGCAGGCTCAATTCGCGGTGAAACTTTTCCTCCGTCTCTTTCACCGATTCTTGTTGCCTTGAGAGGTCTTGCCACTGTTGCCGTAGCAACCAGTCTAGAGATTTTTGTCCTCCCTCAGCCACGTTTAGTGTCTCCATGCACCTTGTTCTCTCCTCTATGTACGATTCGACTTTTTCCGAAACTATCCCAACGTTTCGCTCTAGAAGTTCAATTTGACTAAAACCGATATCATCCTCTTGATTACCTCTATTATACACACGTAAATTATCTGGCATAACTGCCATCAATTTTTCGTTCAGTACCTGGATTTTCGCATCGAGTTCCAAAACCATGCGTCGTTGCCGTTCTATTTCTCTCATGGCAGTTTCCACTTTATCTTTGCCACCTTGGCGTTCCATCTGAATTTTTGCCCCAATCCAGGATATGAGATCATTTTTATCCCGCTTGGATATTTTATTAGCATACTTCCCATTGATGTACTCTGACGTTAGGTTTGTGATGTCGCTGTCGATGTGTTTAGGCAGTGAATACATCCTGGGCTTTTCCACAGAAAGGAGAAGATTTTGAAAATTCACAATACTTTCCGTCTGTGTAGCAGTCGTCATGTTGTTCTGCTATTTTTTTAAATTTCTTCTAATCCTAAATCCTAAGTGACATGTTTAAGCAATTCATTTGTCCTAGTTGTTTACCCTGTCTTGAATTAGGTCCTGGTATTTCAAGTCAGTTTGAACTCATTATTTCGTATTTGGTGGAATGTAGTCCATCTTAATTGAACTGACAGACTGTAACAGTGCAGCAACAGAATTTTAATAAATTATTGTTCTTGTTCTTGTTTTACATGGTGTATATCCCAAAAGTGTTACATGACAATCATTGTATCCCAAGAAATGATAGGTATGTTGATTTTTTTCTATCCCTGCATAATAGATTGTGGCGTATCTACTTTGATGACGGTGTATAGTCCGTTGTTTGACTGGCTCCTTGGTGAATGGGTGGCTTGGATTTATCTCCAGGACTCTGTGGCTCGTGCTTAGAATTTTAGTATGATGTCATCTGAGCGTTGAAGCCATAGCCTGTGAATAAAAAAAGATAAAGAAACATTAATGCATAAAAATGATAAGAAGTCTGACGCAGAGGAATATAATGAAAATAGTAATAATTTTATTGGGCTCTTCATGTTGCATTGTCACATTTGCCAGCCCTTAATACTACTTTTTTTATACAAATTAGGTGTATATATTTGTGTATAAAATTATATAATTTGAGCCTTGAGGTTTTGTCTAGTTTTGTATAGATATCAACTCTCAAATAAAATACAACATAACCTTTTGAACTATGGTGGCAGAAAACAAAATTCAAGTAAACATTTTAAATTATGATAATATCACGTTTTTTGTTCTGAAAATGACAGATGGATAATAGTCATGAGTTTTCATTTATCTCTGCAACAGAGGGTGAGGGGTCCTGTCAATTCTAACATTGTAATGTGCCAGTAGATGAAAGACATTGTTCAAATTAGCACATAGCCTGAGCAACAAGGGGCAAATACTCTAGTAGGTGTGAGATTATATAAATGCTTTGTTCTTGTTGACACTGTAAAACTTGAACAAATGGAGACGGCTTGTTGAGCTGGAAACAGTTGCAGTTTGTTTAATGTTAGCAGTAGCCTGGGGTGGGGTTGATATGTCCCCCATGAGACTTGATGGTGAGAATCCATGTTTTCTCAGAAAAAATAATAATAGTAACAAATATAGTGAACTAAAATAAAGTAAAATAAAATAAGAATTAAGAAAATGAAAAAGGAAAAATATGTTGGGGGTTTGTATTGAAGTTTTTCCCCCTTTATAAAAAAAAAAAAACTAATGAAATTTTCAAAAAAAAAAAAGAAGAAGAATTAAAAAGGTTATACTGTTATTCATATATTTAAATCAATTATTTTGAACAAAAATGATATAAATTGATAGGCAACACTTATCACATAATGTTGTACGTCTGCCCACCATGGAGTTTACTTCAAATTATTTAACATTGGTATTTTCAAACTTTTTTAATAAACTATTGCTAGCAAAACTTTGTTTTGTTGGATAGTTATTAATTTATTTTGTTCAAATTTAGTGAGTAATTATAGTAATCAATATCACTTGTTGTCTGGACATATAATCTGACGTCTCCTGGTATTTACATCTTAAATATTGGCTAGCCATATAATAGACAGATCAAATACAATAAAGTAAGTTTGTTCCATAAGTTGGTTTAGGTAGCTATGGCAATTGTCTCATCTAAAATTCTCAGCAGATTTCTTTTTGAATGATTTTATATAGCCCCTCACATGAATATGCATGCACGCACGCATGTGCGCGCGCGCGCACACACACACACACACACACACACTGAGAGAGAGAGGAAAGAGTGAGCATCACTTTTTAATCCAACATTAAAGATCTAGTCGTACATAATGTCTAATTAAAATCAAAAACTTTAAAATTTAAGTCAGTAAATCACAATTTACCTGACAGTTTGTAAATCCTGTCATTTCTTATGTTACAGTTAGTTGCACATTACCTCATTTTGTTCATAACATGTGACATCACATACTCTCCACATAATTTGTTTGCTGAAACCCAGCACTGCACAGGCATCATTTGCGTACACTACTTGTACTCACTAGCTAGTATACTGCCCATATATCTTCATTCCATATATTTAAGAGCAAGCAAGTTTAGCGGACAACCTCTTTACAGGTCTTCTCAAAAATCTTTTCTAGTGTTTAAGCATGAGGTCAACTGTGATTATAAAGTTAGTAGCTATCAAGTTCAGAAAGTCCAATTTCCTGACCTTGTTATTGTCGCAAAACAATCCAATCTGTCAGCAAGTTGAGTCCACAAACTCAATATCCTGACCCTGTTTTATTGTTCAAAAAAGTCTCAGCTTGTCAATTAACCTGACATGTATTCCCATTACTATGTGTAGAAAGTATGTCCTGATTCTATTTAAGTTTTAATATCCTGACCCTATTTTATTGTTCAAAAAAAGTATGTTTGTCAATAAACCTGTTAACAAGACCAGTATTCCCATCACAGTGTGTAGAAAGTAAATGTCCTGATTCTGTCGTGTTCCTGCCTAGATCAATAAAACTGTTTCCTTTCATAAAAACTGTAAATGGGCTGATCATTGGATATTTGACATGCAGGTTTGAATTTTCCTTTGATTTTATGTAAAAACTAATATGTATTCAAGTGTCAGATGTTAGCGAAGTTCATCTTAACTTATTGTGAGATTTTTGTGGACTTAAAAGTTTCCTTTAATTTTATTAAAAAAATAATCTGTATTTCAAGTGCAATTTTTTTCTTACTTTTCAAATTACTCACAGTGCTGACATTTGATGACTGCTGCTTTAAAGTTGCATTTTAACCTTTCAAAGTAATTTTATGCTTTATTTTTTAGTTTAGATCTAAATAGGATTTTGTTCAGTGAGCTTGAGAAATAGAAAATTTTTGATGATGCAAGGGAGAAAAATTTTATTAATTAGTTATTTAAATAAAAATAAAATGTAAAACCCCCACCCGAGATTTCATTTACTGGTAATAAGAACCTGATAATCATTAACTCCCCACCCCCCCTCTTGCTGTATTTACATCTTACAGTGTAGCTCTCGTTCAGTTAAGAAATTAAGGACATATGTCCATTCCACTATATATATTGACCAGTCAATATACAAAGCCTTTGAAACAGATACGTACAGGATATTTTCCCACTAGGTCATGCTTCAGATTTCTCCTTTCATCTTTACAAAATAAAAAAGCTCCATCTATTTTCAAGAAATGTTTTGACAGGCTGTCTATTAATGAAGTCAGTCGAGTTTTGTAAAAATCCGATCTGTATTCTACTGTGAATAACCCGTATTGTATATTTCATTGTTTGTTAATGACAGCTCTCTTGTATATATTTTATACTGTCTGATTTCTGTGTTGAATTTTTCATTACATAGCAGCTCGGGTGTAACGTTTGTTCACAGCGCATTGGGTCAGAAAATTGCTTTTGTCGCATTATTCCCTGGTCGTAGAGTTGAAGACCTTTTTTTTTTCTCAGCGAGACGGTGAAACCAAATACTAAGCTCTTGAAAGAGGATATTTTGAAAAAAAGTTGAATCAAATAGTGGATGTCGCAGTAAGTTTCATTGAAAAAAAAAAGAAAAAAATGACTAGCAAATATTTTAGACCAATAACTATTTTATAGGTTATAATAATTTAAATGATTGCAAAATTCAGTGTATCTTGTCAATGACCTGAAGTAGTTCAGAATTTTCATTGTAGTTAAGACCAGTTCTCTGGCTGAAAATCATTTGTGTAGACATGGCCTTGAGGGATAATTGACAGACAAGCACAAAATGTTTGGTTTCTTTGTTTCTTTGACATTTGGATGCCTTAGTTGAGCATATTTTTAGATCAGCAAAATATCAAATATTTCTCAAGCTTTAGTGAATATTGTTTTCCATTGTGCTGTGTTGTTTCAAAGATAATTGAACAATTTCCTATCTTTTATTTATTTATATGTTGTTTTATATGTATTTATTAATTTATTTGTTTATTGTGTTATTTATTGTTATATGTATTTTTGTATTTTTCCCTTACTTTTTACTCCTATAAGATATCTACTGCTAATTCTTGGTATCTGTACAATAGTAGCATTAAAACATGCCTGGTCACTAAAATGCTGACAAAAACATGGACATTAAAATGTAATTTCCATTGAAATGTATGTAACACATGTGTTCAACATGTGTACATTTTAGGAATGAACAGAACTTTGTCGCCTGGCAACTTGCAATTGTATAATTTTGTGCAATAACTGACACATAATTCAGATTTCACACCAGTCATCTGTAAGGATACGGTTGTTTAAAATCGGACATTCTGAATATTTCACATTTGCAATATTGAAGAGTTATAATGGACCCATGGTTTGTTTCTATTGTAATAAAACTACAATGCAGACTGCTATACACAAATGCAGAACACAGACTCATTTTTTCCCTATCGATTAGAATGTAACAAAATCACCATGATTGTTTTATATGATGATTGATTTTTGCGCTGACAAAAGAAGTCGGTACAACAAAACTTATTTGATTGTACTAATAATGGGAACAGCATTGGAAAATGCCATTGTAACTATTGCAGCAGTTTTTTTTGGATAACGTAATGGCATGAGAATTCTCAGTGTTAAAGTTGTAGTTGATGCATTTATAACCCTCCACCTCTCTCTTTCTCTCTCTCTCTCCTTCCTCCTCTCTCTCTCTCTCTCTCTCTCTCTCACCTAATAGGACTAATTGCACTCCACTACTTTGACCCAGTATCATTGATACACACTGGACAAAAGTACCAAAGAGCGCAACATTCCTCAGTAAAAAAAATATGTAGCCCACATGTATATCTTCTGTCAAGTAAGTCATACTGTGGGCACCTGTTGGTCATTTTCCTTATCTACACCATTTCTAGAGGTCATTTTCAAACTCATCTGCTACCTCTTAGTAAATTTTTGCCCACTAAGTAACCATTGGTCACTTTTAAACTCATTTTTAACTCACACAGTTGGTCATTTCTATATCACCCTGTACAACAATCGTGTTGGTCATTTTCTTATTCTCACTAAACCTGTTTGTCATTTTATATGTCACACCTATTACATGTCGTTTATTTACTTACCAAACTCACCTGTACCCGGTGGTCATTTTGTCAGCCATATACTGGACATCACACTTTTCCTATTCCATAATATCAAACCTGTTCAATAACTGTACAGTATCTCGTGTCAATAAGAAAACTGTAACGGTTGCCGCATAGGCTCACTTGTCAATAGAAATGAGCAGTGACTTCCCGATCAAGTTGGTAATTATTTAGGCCTCAAAGGGGGGGCTATCGCTTGTGAATTAAAACAAAGTACCTGCTCTTATACCAAGTGAGGATTATTGGGAGGGGGTCTAGGCGCAAATTGATATGGCAATTACTGTATGGGGCTCCAAAGAGGGAGTGGGCGCTTAAAAAGATGTTAGCTAACAGCTTTTGATTTTTGC